AGCTCTGCTGCAGGAGGGCCTGTCTGTAGCTCAGCTATGTGTGCAAATATACATGGCTCTTGTTGATCCATTCCCTGACCTGTGGAGTTATTTCCCAGCTTAATCTGAGCCTTTCCTTGTCATCATGAGCTTGCCTGGTGACCTGGACTTTTGGCTGAACCTGGCTCTCACCTGCAGGTAGGCTTTACTTTCTTTGCTTGGGGCCCTGCCCGGTAAGGATTTCCCTGGCCAAGTTCTTGTGCTCTGCACCCTCTCCTGCTGAGAGCAACCAACTCTCACCACTCCCTGATAGTGTGTTTGCTTGGAATTTTGTCTGTGTGTTATTGTGCTTGAAAGGTAGCTCATCTCACTGGTTCAGGAGCTTTCCATTAGTAGATTCAGCCTTAGGAGCAGTTCAGGCAGCCTCAGTGTAGCCAATGTGTGTATTTCTATAAGCTAAGTAGCTTATGCGAGTAGTCTGGGCAGTGGTCTTCAAAATGAAATCTTGTCATGTGTGTTTTGAGGCTCCACAGAGTTCAGAGTGTATATAAGGCCTTTCAGCCAAGCTTTGCACATGGTGATGGACTATTTGGCCTTCGGGTGCTAGGTAAATGAACCATCATACCCTTCATAAATTAATGGGATACAATAGAGCTAAATTTGTTTTTTTGGTGTGTCCCTCCCCGCCGTCAAATTTCTTTGAAGAGATCTAACTTTTTTCAAAAGTGGAAGTAACCAATAATAGGTGTTTTTGTTATCCAAAGATACAAGTAGTGGTTGTATACAAGAAGTTGTATATTTTACTTGACAAACTTGTATATTTGACATATTTATGAAGTAAGAAGGAGTTTACTCTGTAGTACAGAGCCAAAATTTTCCATTTGAGTATTAAAAAAAAAAAAAAGAGGGGATAAGGCCTTGTAGTGATGTTTTTACATAAGACTCTGCTCAAAAGTCCTACTTTGAGGAGACAGCCCCTTAAACTATGTGAATTGTACAGACTAAGATATAAAACTACTTGATTTTTGCAGGTTAGAAGTCTAAGAGATAAGAACTGATTTTGGACAAGCACTTCTCAACTCAACTATCTATTACATCATTACAATTGATTTTGGTTGATAGATTTGGTCATAAGACTGATTGGACTGTTCAAGCCCTGTACTCCCATGAGCAGTCGACATAGTTCACAGTGTTGTAACAAGCTTGTGTAAATGATGCATGAGTCTTTGTCACAGCCAGGTCTTTGGTCTCAGATATAAATCTCCTAATGTTCTCATTAACTTCTGCTAAGGGAAATTAAAAGAAAACCTAAAAGAGGGCAAGTGAACACTTGGTATGTGGAGCTTGCTTTATATCCCATAAAAATGTATAGAATGTTTGTGCATGCATAGAGATATATGCATGTGTATTATATGTTCGTATGTATCTGGGGGTTGGTTTATACAAGCGACATTGTTGTAAAAATTCAGGAAGTTATAACAGAAAATGTAAATTTTATGCTTGGTAAATAACTAGTTTGTAGACTTGAATAGGCTAATGAATCATTGCTTGTAAATAGCTTGTTTTTACAGAGCTGTAAGATGTCCTTTATGCCATTCCCAATGACTGCTTATGTTTTTCCTACTATGAGGCATGCATCACTGTATTTGAGCTAGTACTGTTAGTCTATGTAGTGGCACACTTAATAATAGGGCGTATTAAGTGACATACTTAATAGGGCAATAATGTGATTTTTGCAGTTTTCAAATTGTGTACATCAGCTGGTGTTTTGAGGTAACAGAAAAACTGATTATTTGGGAGAACTCTGAAGCTCCTGTTCTCTATTATTCTTCCAGAACAGTCTTGGGACTCAGGTCAGGTGACTCACCCCATCCCAGAGTTGTCTGGCTTACAGCTTTGGTTCTTTTGGGTCAGCTATTCGTCTTCCCTAGGAAAATCCTGTGTTTTGTGTAGTGTCATTTCCATGTTACTCCCGTCTTTTAATACTTCTAGTGTAACCATATTCTGTTCAACTTAACTCATGAAGTTAAAGAAGTCAGAGCATGAGTTGATGATGGTTGTCCAACAGCCCACTGTCTTGGATCACCATGTTCTCACTGCCCACAGTTTATAGATTTCTAATGGATTCCAGACCCTGATCGAGAGGACTTCAGCTTCATGCTTCAAGCCTCAATGAGTTTGCTGTTTGAATCTTTGATCTCTTGAATCCTTTTCTCTCATCTTTGAAGGTGGGATGCTTATTAGATGAAGAAGCTTGTTTGATAATTTTTTCAAAGACTATTTTGTGCCAGTTTCATCTCAATTCAGTCTCAATCAAATCAACCCAGAAATTAACCCAATATTTTCTCCTAAATTTCAAGTGTCTGAAACTTTGCTGTACTTCACTACCCGAAAGTCAAAAAGGCTCTTTTATTTTATCATCATGAATATCAAACCCTTTAAGAAAGTCACTATTCATCTTCATTTTAGGAAATACTAGTAGGATTTCTGCCTCTGCATAGTGGATGTCCAAAAGAATATCACACTGTGTATATCTGCCTGTGATTTGTGGCAGATGAGACTGTTTTCTCATGCATCCAGAAATGCTGCTATACCTCTTGCATTACAGTGCTCATCATTTATGTGGCAGACCTTTGAGATACTCTACCTTTTAATTGATGCTGGGGTTATTGCTGGGAATCTAGGCCTTGGTAGAGTGTGTAATGAATTCATGCAAAGAGAGAAGACAAGTCTACTACCAGTGAGTCATATTCTCCAAAGCTTGCCCAGATAAAATTTACTTGCTTGTTGGCAGGAGCTCATTCTCTAATAAGCCGTCTCTAAGCAGAAGGTACAAGGGAGAAGCTGGTGTGAATGCTTCACAAGAAGGATGAGCACAAGAGCAGATTCTCTGGTTTCAGCTGCCAGAGTGTGACCACCTCACTGCTAGAATGCATCTATGCAGCACACTCACTCTGACAGGACCTTTCTGTCTAGGCTTGGCCACAGTATAGGATGTGGGTGCTTTTGGTCTCCAGTTTCATATCTCTCTCTTGAATAATTTTTTTCAATAACATGGAAGAATAATTGCACTCTTCGTCTGCATAAAGTAAGACGTAAGAATGGTACCTTTTGTTTAGTTTCTGAGTATTTCAATATATTATTTCTGCCTTTTTCTACTTAAAGAATGTAATGGTTAGTGTACTTATTCATATGAAAATGAATGTTAATTTATATTTTACAGAAGATTCAGAGTGTTTATAGAACCGTGTAGTGTTAAAGAGTAAGATTTTTCTCTGAAGATTATGTAAGTGTTGGTTTGCATATAGCATGTTATGCTTCATAATTTATTAAAGCATTCTCTCAGCTTCCCAATGTCGTAAAGAAGAGCAGTCTTTGAACTTGGTATCTTCTTGTTCTAGCTGAAATATATGTTGAATAGTCATTAAAATAAAAATAAAAAAATCATTTTTTTATGTTTTTATATTCAAAAAATCACTCTGAGGACAGTGTTGTCTGGGGCAATTGTACAGATGGTAGGCTTCTTCCTCACTGAGAAGAGGGGGCAGCAGCATCACGAGGTTTTCCAGTCATAGGACATGGAACTAATATTACATGTTGTTACTGCTATCTTTAGTAAGTTTTACAGTTCTCACTTCCTTTATTTTTACTTCTGGTTGGACAATCGGGCTCGGACAATCATGTCCTATCAGTCGCATTAAATTTATACTATCACCCTTGAAGGCAAAGGTAAAAATTTCTCCAAGCGTTACCTTGTCTTTTATTGGAACTTTAAGACTTAAAATTGGAAATCCAGTGATGAAGTTTTCTTGTTATTCAGGCGGAGAGGCACCAACAGAGGCAACTGTTTAACATATTATTTTGCCATTCTTAGAAATGTAGGGGATTAGCATGAGTACCTCTGTGCAGAACTTTGAGGAGATCTAAAGGGAGATGCAAAACTTGCAGTTTAATCTCTAAGTCTGCAGAACTGGAATATCAAACTTGTATTAAGAGCTCAGCTCTGTTGTTTAGATCCATATATATTTCAAAGTGATTTGTGAACACCTTTTTTAAAAAAAAAAAAAAAAGGAACTTTGAGAAAAGAGGAGGAACTGAATACTTGAAATTGACAAGGTAAAGAAGATGTACACATAAAAGTACATTACGATCAATTTGTATTTGTTTTTGTCTTTCAGAGCTTGTTTTTCAAATTACTCTCTCACTTTTTCTACAAAAACTGTTCTGCTGATACTAAATCTGCAACAGAGCTCCATAGTAACATTTTATCATCTTACAGCAATTTGCGTAGAAGTGCAAGTTTGTTACCTTTAAAGAAGTTTTAAAATTGAAGTTGTTTAAAGTGTGGTTTGGCAAAACCAAATTGGAAACAGCTCACAGACTTTTGTAGTCTAACTGTGCTCAAAGCGGAGTTCCTTGGTTGATGTGACATGATTATGTTATGACTGTAAGTGTTAACCTTTCAAAATAAAATGTTCAGTTTCTTCTTTTGAAGACCAAATTCTTATAGGTATAATACTTGCTGATATTTGTTCCCTGACAGTCTCGCTTGTTTTCAAACCCCACATATTTAAACTTGTAGAGTGTAAGATTGATGTCTCTTTTCACTCAAATGTCATATTCATCAACTGCATTGTGCTAGCAGATTGTTAAACAGACAAGGTGACTTGCAGAGTGACAGTATAGTGATGTGATGTCCCAAACCATTACAATATAGTAATGACTTTTTTCATTTGTTCAATCAATTTTTGCAACACTTTTTTCTTCTTCCTGTAAAATGCAGGTAAGAATATTCTGTGTTTAGGTCTTTAGCTTGGAAAACTCCTAGTTAATGAACAATACAACCTGGAATTCTTTTGTAATTTCCTGGATACTTGAAAAATACCAGAGGATTAGTAAGAGCTAATGTAATGATAGTTTAGGATAGGAAAGGGGGTATGTTATGCTGAGACAAAAAGGAAGTGACAGATCATTTTCAAGCAAGCGAAAATAAAAAGTATTTCATTGTTTTGTTTGAACAGCCTCCCAAGAGTCCCCCAAAAAAGGAAGGAGCTTCTGTTTAACGTTGTACCAGCTCAAATGTCTCTCTCAACTTGTTAAACTATTTTTATCAATGGAAGAAAAAATTGAAGAACTCTCTGCAGAAATTCTGTTGGTGCCTTCATTTGCCGAGAAGAATGTTCAAGGTAATGAAAGCTTTTCCTTATTTACTGTTTTTAGTTTGTGCCAAAGAATGTTTTTATATACTTTTCAAAAATAACTGCTTAATGTGTGTTAGCTCATTATATTAAAGGTATGTTACGTCCATGGAACAATCTTTTTGAAATATGAAGATTGTAGATTTAAGTACAGTTATGACTTGTGGAAAAAACTTGTGTATAAATGTGATATACAGTAGCTAGTGATGAAGAATCAAATGAAAAGTTATCTTTGTGAAAAATAGTAGCGTCTCCTATTGGATCTGTATAAATGGCCTATATTTTATATAAGACAATATTTGGAGGGTATGTTCTTTGAAATAGCAAGCTTTCTGACTTTGTCTTAGAAAAGTACTCACCTGAACACTGGTGTTATCCATCTTTTGTATCTGTAACTCAATACTTTAGCTTTTAGTTCTTATGATTGCTTACAAATGCGTATTGTCATGCTTATGACATTGACTTCACTGGGGCTTTTTATGTAAGTAAGCTCTTGATCCGGAAGTAAACTTCTTCAGAATCAAGTCTCAAGTTTGTATTTTCTCACTATTTTTTCATCTGACTGCATTCATGTTAGATGAGGAGAAAATGATATCCCCAAAACTCATATGAGAAACACCTTCCAGATCACAGCATGTTCTACACTCCTACATAAGTTTTCTACTCTGCTGTTTTTACCAATAGAGAGAGTCCAGGTCACCAGAGAGCAAGTGGTTTCAAGAGCTTTGATTATATTGCAGGAAAGGATCATACCAGAAATGAGGCCAGGCTGCTTAGGGAAAGAGCATAGCGGGAGTCAAACACTCAGTATCTCTATTGTCAAGCTGCAGGCTGAGAAGGAAGGTGTCTGGGGAGTGTGGTCTAAGCATAGTAAATTGATTAAAAAAAAAAAGAAAAAGAAAAGAAATAAAAACAGTTCAGAGTTCATTTGGTAAAATAAATGCAGGCTAACCTATATGTTTTTAGAATATACATCAAAGCTCAAAAAGTTTTCATTCAAAGTTCTCTTTTTGTTTTTTGATCTCAATGCATTCCTGTCTTCTTTAGTGTCTCAGATTTACTAGTTCTTGAGAAATGTTAATCTATCTTTAAGAGCAGAATGGAGAATATACTTGCTCTATTTATAGCAACAACCTATATGAAGATATTATTTCAGTGTTAGCAACAATATTTTACTTGTCTGAAGGTAGGTTTTGGACTTTATCTTGCATATATTTATCAAAGATGTTTTCTGAACAGTTCTTAGTGTGTTATGCTTTCTCTTTTCAGAAGTATTCTTTTACTGTGGTTGTATGTACAGTAAGATGAGGTTTAGTGCTGCCAAAAGGCTTATCTTTGCTTTTGGTTTTGCAATTCTTATCAGAACAGTCTTTACTGACGATTTTTCTCAGTGGTATCATTTTTTTGAGGATATGTGAACAGAACATGTGTCGTGGCCAATGTTACAAAAAAAAGTCCATCAAGTAGAAGGGCTTTTTGGTGTTATGTTCACTTCATATTGTTACAAATCTCAGTTGTAGTGATGAAATGAAAGATGATTTGATATGGGAGAATGAGAGCTATGTTCCCAGTAGTTCCAAGTTTTGTTAAGTACCAAAAGGGATTTAAGGTTTTTTTTTGTGCTGATGTCCTATATTAGGCTGATAATGTTTTTTTCACTAATGAACCCTGAGTTTTGATCAGGCACATTGTTTGAAATCCATGCCTTATTTTAAGCAGAATACGTATATTGTATATGACTATAAAATGTAATGGCCAGCTTCCGTACTTATTTAGAAGGCTTATGATGTTAAATTCTTTACAAGATTTCTAGTGTGCAGCCCAGATCTGTCCAAAGAATCTTTAAATTAACTCAAGTGCTAGTAGCAGGTTTATAGGGTAGCAGAGTCTGCAAAACTACCATAAGCAGCAGGATAAGTTCATTCCAAGTGGTGTGCTGCTCTTACCTACACACCCAACATAAGTTTAAACTAGCAAGAATGAGCAGCTAAACTAGTCTCCAGTCCCCGCAGTGCAAGCATGCCTGAAGATTGTGTCCTGCAAGGAGTACCCCTGCCAAACTAAGGAAAGCTGTACAATCCATGGAAGTAGCCCAACGTCCAAGGGAGCTAAAGTTTCCCCATACGTAACATAGCCTGGAACCTTGCACTGTGTCTGTTTTTTTTTTTTGCTTGCTTTTATTATGGATAAAGACCTTTTATCTATTCATTCAGAGATGCAATAAAATGTGTGCTTTGTTTTTTGTTTTCTTCTCTCTCCAGGTGCTCATGTCCTGCCATGTGTTGTGTTTGTGTTGCTGCTTCAGTGACAGTTTTAGTTGTTTTTTTGTTCAGCGCATCCCATGGTACTTCAGCCTTGATGTACAGAACATGTGTAAAGTTCCATCAGAAACAAAGTAGTTTTTTGGAGAGTTCCACTTTTTAATTTTGTTTTTTGTCCCAAAGATGGCATATGAGTTTCATCTAAACCAGACGGTTTCTTGGCCCTCATTTTTCCCTAAACCCAGCGATGACAAAGAGCAATGGCTGCATAAATTGGATGTAAGAAGAACACTTAGGGTTTATCACAGAAGAATCAAAGATTTCATATCTTCTGACAGATTGTTTGTACTCTTAGGGGGTCTTAAGAGGGGTCAAATGGCTTCTAAGAGTTCCTTAGCTAGATGGTTAAGGGATTGTATTAGGGAGGCGTATGTAGTTAAGGGTAAAGAGGCTCCCAGGGTTTGTAAAGCTCATTACACTAGGACTATAGCTGCTTCTTGGGCGGAGAGGTCGAAGGCTTCCACATTGGAAATTTGCAAGGTGGCCACCTGGGCTTCTCTTCATACTTTTTCATTGCATTATCGCTTGGATGTAGTCTCTTCTGCGGATTCTGCGTTTGGTAGGAGGTTGCTTGTGAACCGAAAAAAGAACAGTGAAGAAAAGAAAGACACGTAGTTCACAGTTCTAGCTGGCAACAAGACAAGTTTCTTTGCAGTGTGCACAATGGAATCCTATGAAGACCAATTTAGGCGGTTGAAAATAGATGTTAGAGGGAAGTACTGCCTACCAGTATTCTCTGATGGTAACCCCATGGCAGACAATAGCACCAAAGGAAACGGTGAACCAGAGTGAACTCTGTAGGGAGATGGATGTACAGGGCTTTTTTAGGTGAAATGGATAGTTCCCTGAGTGCAGTTTGAGAGTTCTAAGTCTGGTATCTTCTGGAATATACTCAATATATTCCTTTTTGAACCTGTTTGGCATAGATGGAAGAAAAATCTATGAATTATGTTTTCTACTACATGTTCTTTTCACTATTCTCCATCCAGTTCTCGCTGGTTTTTATCTTCTCACTTTTAAATTTCAAACATAAGTACACGTTCTCTGAATAGTATGTCCATGCCAAGTTTTGCGCTTGATGTTGTGCAACCTAATGCATTACTGAAGCGCAACAAATACCAAAAGATGTGGTGTAAATACTTTATTCACTATCAACAGAGTGTTCAGTCTTTCTCTTAAATCACATAAAAGGAGAAAACAGTGGCAAATTCTCAAATGTAAGAATGAACAGTGACAGACCTCTGTCCAATCATTGAGCTTCTAGTACATCACCTGGTCAAGATTACCACTCTGCTTTCCTGAGGAAGGGTATCTATATTTTTCTAATGGTTAGAGAACAGTTGTTCCTGGTGTTGCATATCCTCACTTTCTTCCACCATCTCAGAAAATGAAAGGAATAACCACCTTCTGTTTTTTCTTTTTTCTTGAATAGATGTTTAACTCTTCATTTTGCAGATATCCCATCATGCCGACTGTGATGAGATGGTCTACTTCTCATTTTACATTCTGCTGAAAATCCCCAAAGTGTTCTGACATACCTAGTACATTCAGCATCACAGGGGTTGTTCTCTTTGAAGGAACCTGGAACATTCCACTGTAGCCAAGGGTTAAACAGGAGATCTTGATTTAGAATCAGGCCAAATTGCATTTTCTTTCCACCTTTAAGGTAGATGTCTCTTTCCTCTGGCGTTTCAGAAGCCTCTTGTTGAGACTTTAAAAATCAAAAACATCTAACATACTTTCATCTCTCTCACTTTTTCATTTCAGCGAGAAAGGTGAACTTTGGACAGATCAGATAATGAGTACCAAGAAAAGCTTTTCCCATTGGAGCTCTTTGAAAACACTGTGGGCAAAGTTGTCAAGCCCTTAGGTTTCTAAGCTTTGCCTCAGGGGACCGCAAAGACTTGCAAAGGTCTTCCCTTCACAGTATAAGAAGAAATCCTTTGCTCTGTATCCGTTTCTGGAAAATGTAACACAGGGAGTACAGAATGAAATTTATGAGGTACAACCTCTTAATAGACCTTGAAGTTATAAGGATTCAAGAAAGGTGTGATTTTCTTTTTTTCCCCCTTTGGTCTCAAAGCAAGATGTTCAAGTAGAACCTAGTTTCAGCAGATCACACTGATGTAAAGATCAAATCTGGGCTAGGCAAGAGTTTATGTTTTCTATATATGTATTATTAGAGCTTGCTCAGTATAGCACAACAATTAAATAATCCATTATGGAACACAGAATGTAGGAGGCTGTAAAATATTCAGCTAGCAGCGTGGTTTTTTTTGTTTTGTTTTCCTTTTGTTCATTTATATTTCTCCTGTGTTGTATTTCCCCTTTTTTTCAAGGCATGTCATCTCCAGGACCCTCTTCAGTAAAAGTTATGGCTGAACCTACTGAACAGAACTTTAGATTTGGCAAGGAGCTTTGTACTTGCCTTGCTCACAGTTAGTGAGCAGTCATAGAAAATGTTTCCTTGATGCATAGCTATGCTGGGCCCTAGATGAAGTGATTATAACAGTTCTCATGACAAAAAAGAAAATTGGAAAGCATTTTAGTAGAAAAAATCAACTTAATAGAATATCTTACAGAGAAGAAAAAGAATTATATTAGTAATGCAATAAATCTCATTGTCCTCATGACTGCAATAATAGACAAATGCTGAGTGGGAGAAAGAATTAAATACATTGCAGACAATAGGGCCATAGGCAAAAAAAGAATTGCTTTAGAGAGAAGTATAATCCCAAACAAATTTTGGTTCAGTTATAAAAAGTTGTCTCAAAAGCTTTAAGCAAACCTCTCATTTTTTTCTTAGTTTCTTGAATATTTGCTATTGAATAGATTCAAACTGCCTGATTGGTAAAACTGAAGGAAGTACTTGTAGTATGAACAGTTTGTCAAAAGTCTCAAGCAAGACAGGGCAAGTGTTTGTGGGTGCTTCTAATGGTCTAATGCTTCAGTGTTGAGGTAGACAATGTATCCTAGAAAAGGAGCTAGTCTGAATTTTTTTTCTTTCAGCTCTTTCTGCCTTTTCTTTCCAACCCTTGCTTTCTTTCGCTCACTCTTGTTTTGCAGATTTTCTCCTCTAGCAGTTATATGAGAAGTTCAGCATACATTTAAGTCTTTCCTTAGAAACGGAGCTCAAGGTAGGGGATTTAAGGGAAGAGAGGAGTCCAAGATTTGTGGCCGTCCAGGTAGAGGTGCTTCCTCCTTTCCATGGCTTGCTTTCGTTGACCGTAATGGCAATCTAATTTAAGCTGAGTAGCTTCACTGCAGCAGCTGTACAAGCCTCTGGGCAAGACTCCATTTTTATTTCTCTGGGGAGCTGACTGGGGCAAAGCAGTGAGAAGACAAGCCAAGAAATAACAAGACAGAGAGGCCATATGTGTCTGTGTGGAAACAGCAATTACTGAGGGGAAGGCAGTCGGTATCAAGTGCCGAGTTTGCTGTGCTTGTGTGTATATATGAATATAGGCAAGGGTGCCTAGGCTATTTTAGAAAACAAGCTGAAGAGACATAGGAAGAGCTCGGGATATAAGAAGGAGGGAAATTTAAAATGAGTGATGCTGAGGGAAGCATCGTTTGGCTCTTTCTCTTGGGAAAGGATCATTAGAATTTGGTGCTGGAGACACAAATCTACATCGACTAAATACTGTTTGTCTAAGAGATGCTTTTTTAATAAGGCAGCAATTCTATAAATATGCAAGGATCTCAGATTAAGCTTTACTCTTTTTTTATTTTCTCTTAAAGTGTTGATAAACTTGGGGAATCCATTACTTCTGTTTCCATAGTTCTGTTGGACAGACCAAGTTAAAGGGTATTCTGAGGACTACTAGAAAGTTAATGGCTTTGGACTTTTGGAGAAGGAGTCCTATAAAGAGCTGATCTAAGTCATGCCAACTTGAGAATGTTGTTATTCAAATTGTTTTATAGTGAGAATCAGATAACATATCAGATAACTGTAAAAATTACCAGGGAAAAATCAGATAAATTTAAAGTAGAAAACAAAAGAATGAATTTGAGGAAAAATATCCTGGCAGTTGTGGGGGTTTTTTTTAATTATTTTTTTTAACCTTCTTACTCTGGAATATATTATTTTAAAAAGAAAATGGGCAGGAAAATAATTATATAACATATTAAACCGTAAGTTTGTGTGTATTGTTGTTCTTGGTTTTTTCTTTTGGTTAGAGAGAGAGAGAGAGAGAATGCTAAGGAAGCTAAAATACCTGGGAAGTGTTTTCTATTTTTCACATTTTACCCTTTTTTTTATTTTTCATATCTCAAATCTGTTTTTCCGTGATCATTTTTGAAAGTGAAAATAGTGTTTGGAGGAAGGAAAAAAAATCAAGTTTTAGAATATTGTATAGGTGTCATTGCTTAGGAGAAAGGCAAAATCAACTTCATATTACTGAATTATTATTGAACTACTACTATGTTGGGTGTTTCATAGAAAGAAAACTAAGTTCTTTAAGCCTTGACTGTATGTGTACTGTAAGTATTTCAGGTGACCAAAGACCTACTATTTTATGCTCAAAAGATGATCTTTAGCAATGCCTGACAGTAGTCAAGTATTTCGGATTTTTAATTTCATGTCAGATATATAAAGAATACTTGTACCAGAGTTGTTTGGTTTTATTCTCATGGTCCTTCTGAAGCATTGGCAGTGACATCTCCCCTGGATGTTGGTATATCCCTGTAGAAACCACATCAATATTCCCATTACCTCAAGATTTATGAGTGAGCCTTTGTACTGTGCCTTCTTAAGGAGCTTCACCTGTTCCTATGGCCATTATTTTGCTTATAATAACTGTGCTAATTAACTGTCTTTTTATTCTTATCACATTGGCATTTCCAAATAAGTAAAAACTATAAAAACACAATATGGTGTAATTCATTTAATTTATTAAACAAAGAATAGAAATTAATTTCTACACAGCTGTTCTAATGTTATCTGTTCTCCCTAGAAATAGGTGACTGCACAATCAGTATAAAAATGAATTAATGACAAAAGAAGCTATATTTTATACATTATATGTGCATATGTATAAAATATGAATACAATGGGATGTGGTTTTCATCATGTTGTATAAAGGGAGCTGTGTATAACTTGAATTTGACTATCATAACATTAGTATTCCACTACATCTTGTTGAGGGTTTTTTTAATGCTACATATTGATATATCAGAAGGTGTTGTAGGCTGCTGACTTTTCTACAGAATTAATCTTAACTTTGATCCCCTTTATCATACTGTGCAGGAGTTCTGAAGAAAGCTGGTGGGGAGCTTTTAATAGGAGAAACTAGAGCAAATGAAACCAGTGTGCTTCCTGAACAGTTACTTCAGGTAAAAGAGGTGAGTATGAAAAGAGTCCCGCACTTTGTAGGGGATTTTCTTTTGTCTGTGTCGCCAATACAGTCTGTCACCATACTCATTATAAACACCTATTGCCAGAGTTCTATTATTTAGCTACTGAGTCCAAAGTCTCAGCTAAAGCAGAATAAAATCTTAAAGCGTTCATGAAGTGCTTATTTTAACATTTAATAACAGAACAGATTTAACATCAGACATAGAGGATATTACATTTTAAAAGAAATAGAAAAAGAATGCAAGAATAGCACAGCTTTTTTTTCCCAGTATATCTTATGTTCTCAATTGCAACAAAGTCTTAGAAAACCTGCTGAGTTCTTAATCATTATCCTTTTAGAAGGCTATATAGGTGCATCCTTAGGATACATTCTATAGGGATGTGTGCTCACATGATATCCAGTTTTATACAACAAGTCACTGTGCAGTAAGCGGTATGCTTTGTAGAATGTATATAAATGATTATGTTCTTAATCTGGCTGCCATTTACTACTCTAGGGAATTTATGGGGCCTAAGCGCTCTTAAAAGAAATCTAGTATTGTACAGTAATGGAATGTAATTCACTAACAGTTTTATTTTAAAGCTAAAATGACTTTTTAAAATGTCCTTTGAATCGCTAAGGCTAATCTACTTATATTTGATATAGTACAAGAAACAGCATTTTGAGATGGTTGAGCCTTTAAAAAAGACAGAGAGCAAGTGGGTGTGTGGGTGGGCTACCCGTGGACTCCTTGGAGTTGGATGTGAGGGGTGGGAAGGAAGGAAGAGGCATTTCTCTAGATTGGAGTGAGTTGGGAGAACTCTACTGTATAGTCCCTTTCTTGTCTTCCATTTTAAGATGGTAGTTGCAGCTTGTTAGAAATGCTTTTCTTCTACTGTGTCCCCAATGGTAGGGATCTTTAGAGTATATCATACATCATTAAAATACTTCTTACAGTGGTGAAGTTCTTTAAGTCTGCTTTATTTCATATGAGCCAGGCAAAGCAAAATCAGTGGCAAAATAATATTTCCTGCTGTGTCTTCTGTGCCACTGTTATGCTTCAGATAACCTCAGAAGTCACTATTTTGTCAAAGGCTGCCAATTCCTGATTGAAGCCACAGTAAAATCCATCATGGGCTAAAAGCTAGACATCTCTAACCATTTAAATCTCTGGTAAATCCATCAATAAAGAAGTAAAATACAGTATGGCTGTGTTAAAACTTCTATAACTGTTTTACTATTAATATTTGTGGGTAGTAACGTTCAGCTGTTAGCTTGCAGTGAAAATGTGGAATTATGACGTATCTTTTCCTGGATTACTACTTAAACTATTGATATGGTTGTAAGTATATTTGACTTTGTTAAATAGATTACATTAAATGCAATTAAAAAAAAGTGTAAGGATAAAGCATGGCTTATATAAAAAGTATTATTTAAGAGGCCTTTTATAAATACATGTTTTATAAGTTTGCTGACAATTTAATGTCATTAGGCATGTTCATTTTTAAGTATGTATTCCTCTTGGTATAATTTCAAGATTATAGAGCTGTGTTTTAAGCTATTCATATGAATTTGAAAAGATGGTATCCTTTTAATTAATTTGTTCTTGGATTTTCATTAAGTTGAGAACAATCTCAATATTTATCTTGACTGAATTTGGATTGATTTAATAAAAATATGTTTTTCAGCCTATTTCGCTGGATTTTGGCTGGAGGAATGCATTTAAAGACCTGTCCTCTTCTGTGGCTCACTGTATAACAATAGCAATTGAGGATTTTTCAACTAAAATTCTTCAACATGAGCAGAAAGAGCAGTCTTCAGCTGCAGGCTATGCAATGAGTCTTGTAAACAACCAGCAAATGAGGGAGTCCTGGGGAGCAGTCCAACAAGAGGAGCAACCAAAACGAATTGCTAAGGCAGGTATCAAAAGATCTGAAGTTTGAGGGGAGACAGAATGCCAAGGCTGTTTTGCCATCTGTGCTTTGAAGTACTTACAGTACCATTAATATTCTATATTGTATATAAATGGAATTAAGAAGAAAGTGAGAGGCATTACATTATGATGCTGAACAGAGCTTTATACAATAGCCCATAATCTGTACTTAAAAGAATTAACTTCTAAACTTTGCTGGCATTATTTTTTCATGCAAAAAGTTCTAAAACATTCTGATTAGTATCTGCTCTGTTACCAAGTGGTCTGATGGGAAAATGTTTGAAAGCTTTGAAGCATTACTATAAAGGGATTTCCTGCGTTTGTTTCCTTAGACATGCCATTTAACTAATCAGCATAACTAATAGCAGGCCCAAATTAGAGTTCTTTGATTTGGCCAAAAGGTCGCTGTGTTGATTAATTAAATCGTTTGTCTAATGGAATAAGGGTATGAACCTTTTTGAATTTAGTAAGCTTTGCAACTATCTAGCAGAATTGGGAAGCTGTTAATAAGTGCTTAAAATAACACTTAAACTTTAGGGAGATAATTTTGGGGGAGATCAATATATGCACTTCAGACATGAGAAGTTCAGTTTCAAATTCAATATTAAAAATATATTTTTATTTTTCCAAAAGAAATTAGTTTAGAGAATTATCTCTCTCTAACAGAGAATTAAACTTATGCTTTGAATGTACATCTAATGAAGGCATAAACAAAATGAAGGCATTGCTAACCTAAGATGGTTTTAATTTTTTTCCTCAATATATATAATGTGGCTTTAAAGCAACAAGGAATGAAGTAATAACTCATTTTCTCTAGATAAATGCTTTTCCCTTGTACAACAGAGTGAAATGTTTGTAAAGCTGATTTAATATATTTATGTTTTATGCCAATTTCATTATTCAAGAATCTAACCCTAGTGTGTATAAATTAAACAGTGCTGTCAGAATACAAATAACTTGATGCCACGTTTATTTCTCCCCCAGTTTTGTTCTGACATCATGGAAGAACTTGACACATTGCTTCCATTGGCTCTGGCATGCAAAGATGATTCTCTTCAGGAAATTAGAACAAACTTTGTAGAGGCCTGCAGCAAAGTAGCAACAGCTGTCCTGGCAAGGCTGGAGGAGAAAAGCAAAGATGTTCCCTCCAAAGCTCCCCTGCAAAACTTGTATGCTGCTCTTTCCACAGCGATACATGTCTGCCAGCATTTTGCAACGTATAGCAATTTAATGAGAGAAACCAGCAAAAAGTGAGTCCCTCTTGCATAAAGTGGGTTGATTAAAAATAGATAATGTAGGACTTACTCCACTAAGTGCTACAGTGTGGTGGTAGTTTCCCAAGTTGCATGGTATTTTTTTAGCATGAGCATTACATGCACTAATTTAGGAAAGCCCTGAATTAAAGGTAGTGATAATTTAAAGAAGCCACAAGAAATTATTTTTACTATATGCATTTCATGTGCAAATCAATTGTTTTATTAAAGTAGTATTGGGTAAGTAGTATTGTCCAGAGAATAGAATATACTCTGATCTGTTGAAAGTAGAGGGCTAAAGCTTTAATTACCTTTTACCTGACTTGTGCTATATCTGAATTTTCCTAAAACTTGATTTTAGCAGGTAGCAATCTTAGAGGATAAGATAAACATCCATTTCTGCACTGTTTCCCTATACCACTTGTTTTGAGAAATGCAAGCAAATTCATCCAGTGTTAATTAAAGTTTTTATATATATATCTCATTGCATGCAGAGTGAAATAAAGTTAGGAAGTAGTGGTGTAAGGTGTAAGACAACCCTGGGCAAGGATTTGTTCTGGAGGGCAGTATAGTCGTGTTGGTTTCAGGAGGCTTGGGCTGAAGATACTGAGAATATCTCTATTGATCCATATGTTTCTGGCGATATGTGATTTAAAATCAGAAGCTGAGCCTGTTGGGGAAAGCTTTGGACTAAAGCAGTTGAAGGAAGGTATGATTTCTAAGGGGTTCTATGCACTGGTGAGCTGCTATAGCTCTGATGTCCCCCCGCTATGCTAAATGGAGCAGACTTTTTGTGAATGAGGAATCTGAGCCAGAATCTTCCTCAGTAATTCTTACATGCATTATGAAAGAATTTGCCCATAACACATACCTACTAAAAATGATCTCTGTGCTTGTGTCTTCTTTTTTGCACTTGCTGCTCGTGCATAATGTTTCAACACAGAATGTTCCAGAAATAGCAACAACTGAATGGCAAAAGGTACTCTTGCCTTAAAAAAGAGGATAATTTACTTCTCAATGACTTGGCTAAGAAAGAATTTATAGAAGGGAAAATACATATTCTTAAAGAACTTGTGGAACAAAGACCAGATTTTTCAAAAGTGTATGTGGGGTTCAGACTCCAGGACCAAGAGGAAATGAATGATTGATACCTAATAATCGAAACCATTTGCAGTGCTGGGGATTGTTACCTCCTACTGCACAGCCTTTCAATCTTTTCCTCTTTGATCATTCTCTCTGAACAGCCCCCTGTTCCTAGGGCCTGTCCAACAATATCAGGAATTCATCAACATTCTCCAGTTTCAAGTTACGGACTACTGCGTCAGAGTTTGTGCTACAAGCATCTTGCAGGATGCCGAGAGCCACCACTGGGATGACTACAAAGCTTTTTATGAGGTGTGAGGTTAAGTTTACTATGCCTTCCTCTTACAAAATGTGTTTTACTGGTTGCCAACTCTACGACTAATTAGAAACATAACATCAGCGTTATTTTTGTATGAAGATTGGTGGGATTTGATATTTTTAAGTATCTATTATTGTAGGCAAGTTCTCTTTTAGAAATAATGTAGGAAAACATGGTCACTAAAAGACTTCCGATAAATCAGTCAAATAGTCTTCTGTCATGTGTTTAAGGAGATATTGTGTCCTAAGATCATTTGAAAATACATAATTCTATGATCAGGGTCAAGACCTTTATACC